CTGTAAACTCATGGGGGTTTACCCCTTGGCTGTAAACTCATGTGAAGCCTCCATGTTGGCTATAAACTCTAATGAGAGGCCATACTCCCCTTAGATGCAACCCTTTGGTACTTCTAGCACTTGAATTAAAGTGTTTTCCATGTCCTAGGGTGTCTTCACTTGCTTAATTAGTTGTTAATTGACTAATTAGATACATATATGTGTCATTATATGTTAAATAGGATCCGTGTGTGTGCTCAAGTCTTCACTTGACACTTAGCATCCTATACCATCCGTTCATCCAAACCACTCACTACAAGTGAGTTCATACCCCTTAATCAACCTTTTAAATGATTTTAAATGCTTTTATGGGGGGAATACAAGTTGAAACATTATAGTTATTATATCAATCACATGTGATTAATAACTATCAAACATATGGATTTTCTTACTTTTCAAACTGTGTTATCAAACAAACTACTTCAAATCGTTTTATAAACTCGTTTACATGTTAAATACTTTTATTAAACTCTTTTAAACTTATATTTAGTCAAATGTGTATCTATATAGATATAGTTATATAAGTAGGATTGAAAGGACTTAGGACTGATAGCTCACCTTACTTCCTGTTCCTTGTTTGGTTGTGGACTTAGGGTATCGATTGTTTGTCCGAATGCCATTTGAATCTTAGTTATATATTATGTATATGTATATAGATATAAAAGTTCCTTCAATCAGTTCAATACCTTTGGGTAGCAAGGGTATACAATCATGTTCATTCATACAAACAACATTACTAGTAAACTATAATTGGTATAGTTTAGGAAGTTACTAATACTATTATTAGAACAATGAAACATACAAAGAGTCAGTTCATACATGAGTCAAAACATACTATTATGAGAAACTAAGAGAACATACATACATACTAGACAGAGAGAACATACAATACAGCTAGAACATACTATACATTATACAAGAGAACATACTATTATGAGAAACTAAGAGAACATACATACATACTAGACAGAGAGAACATACAATACAGCTAGTACATACATTACATATACAAGTATACAATAACATAAATGTGAACCATCGTTCGGGGCATGGCATCACCTGTCATGGCTCGATTTGTAGCCAGAATCTCCTAGAGGGGGAGCGTGAATTTGTGTATAGATCTATACTGGATTGACTATCCTACACCTTGTTGTTAGCTACAGTGGGACTTGCAAGTCTACGGGTGCCAAATGTCATTTCTTCCGACGTCTTTCATCGTCGTGTTATTAGTCGATAGTATGGTGCAACCATTTCACATTTAACCTTAATTAACGGCCGAATTAAGGTAGAAAGTACAGCAGTAGTTACTATAATACAACACTACAGTACTTTATTATTTCCCCATTGCATTCATATTGTGATCTTTTCACATAAAAGGTAATGTAAAACTATATTTTTGGTTAATGATAGTTACACTTGGGAAAATATACACTCTTACAAGAAACAAACATACATTTCATTTGAGGCCTTGATAGAAGGCTACGTTTAGTAGAAAATATAGGATTTTCTAGGAGATTCAAACATTTACATCAAGTACTTACAAACACTTTCATACAAACAATGACACTAAAATGCTTATGAACTCACCAGCTTTAAAGCTGATAAACTCTTTCAAAATAACTTGTATTCTCAGGTCATCAGTAGACAGGTACCGATGCCAGGTTTTGAGAAGATGGAACTCGTTCAAGACTCATCTCTTATTTTTGATTTACATTTTTGGTGTCTTATAAACTTCACAGAACACACTTGTATGAAATTATATTATTAATGCAATGGATGATGTTGTTGCTTGTTTACTACTATGCTTTGTTGTGATACTATACATGACGTCCTCCACCCCTGAACGTTTCCACCGTTCCGGTTTTGGGGTGTGACAGATCTCGGAGATGGAGCTAGCCTTCATGACGTGTGGTTGCAGAGGCAAGTTGCAGACCACGTTCGTAGTATGTCAGTTCAAAGGTAGCGTTGTTCGTTGGTGGAACACTCTGGGGAAGACCCTAAGCCCTAATGAGCCACTGCAACTGACTTTTGAGATGAAGTTTAAATGCCCACCGAGTGCTCGATCATTTGCTTGTGTGAGTTTTGTAAGTTTATTAGCGACTTTTGAGATGAAGCAAAAACCAATTCTGCTATTTGAAAGCCAATGACTCTGACCATTTCCATTTAAAATCCCAACATCAATCTCCCTTTCTGTGTGTTTCAATCAAGCTTCTGGTGCCATAGGTGATCATCTAGCATCTGCAATATGTCAAATGCTACCCTGCTCTCTTCTTTATGGTTAGTTATTTCCATCTCATTTCCATCTTCCAGTTCACACCCCAAAACCGTTAATTTTTGAAAATGAAATCAGTACATATACTATCTCGCTTGAATTGTAAGCAATTTTTTTTTCGTGTGCAAAGTGATGATGGCAGGCATGCACTGATATTGTATTCCACCAATTTTCATCCACAGGGTGGTCGTCAACCATCCGACACCTGTTTTATAACTTTATAACTGATGTCTCTTCTAGCTTCAAATTCGTCGTTCAAGACGTTCGATCCAAGAATGTCATTGTATGTATTTATTTTTAAAATTATCTATTTCCCCATTTCTGTTATATGAACTCCCTTATTGGATTAATGCATATCTTAGGCTTATCATTATGGGGTTTTTGAGAATACTGTTGATGTTAAAGTGTTATTGGATATCGATGTTTAAATCAAGATTATGGTTGGCTAGAGAATTAAAACACATACACAAACTCATCGATCTGAGGATAATTTTTTGAATTCCTGTTGGTTAACAAATTAAAGGCTAGAAATAAAGCGTCATTTAATCATCTTGAAATTCAAGGTATTCCTTTTTACTTTTCACCATGATCATTTGTAGGTTGCTTTATCAAGAATAGTAATTATCAATAGTTTTTTTTTCAACTTTGGTTTCCACATGTTTAAATCTAGTAGTATCATAAGGGGCATATTAGGAATTTCAGTTTGATAATATCGGTTAGATAAAAAGGCTGGAAGGGACATGGCCTCTTTTCTTAGAAGGGGACTCATTCTTCCACACAAGAATTTGTTTAATCCACTAAAACTAATAGTATAATGACAACTATACCCTTATTAGATAGTAGATTTTGATTCATTTTGGGTGCTACTTTCTAAGCTTGTTATATCAAAAATATTGTATTTACAGTCTATATGCCATCTTTTTTTCCCTTCATGATTTATTGTGTACACTGCATTTTTATTTTTTCATTTTTTGACAATAAATCATTCATTTTAATAATTAACTTTTTTTTTCTTTTTTTACTCATCCTTTATACTACCAACTTTTATTTTAAAGAAGTCATAAACACATTAATTAGATAAAACTATTACACAATTAACCATTTAACAAAAAAACTTTAAACTAATTATATAAAATCACAATAAAATATTTGACCAAGATTTTACTAATCATAGAAGTAGTTTGATACACATGGAATAATATGTTGTCAAGTTAGTAGTTCGATACACATGGAATCATACGTTGTTAAGATTATCTTAGGATCTTTGGAAAGAAGTCATGTGTGTGTGATAAAGATTGCAGTGGGGATGGACTTCTCTTAGTCTTTCATGGCCATTCCTCTAGAAATGACTTTTTAATAACCTAATAAGAGATCTATTACGCGCATCATCGCATAATCTATTTTCTTGGAAGAGGAAGATCAATTGCGTCGTTCATGTTTTTGAAACAAAATAATGTCTAAAGTGAATAATTAAAACTAAATACACTATCTACTTAAATAAGGGGCATATTTGTCAATTAACCATAAAATTTTATGGATAGATAAAAATAGGCATTGGAAGAATAAATATCCATATGACATGTGAATGAAAACTTGTAATACTTTTTACTATTCTATTTACAAGAACTATAAGTTTCATCTTAATAATAACGACATAAACATGATTTGATACAAATAGAATTGCATATGGTTTTAGGTTTACCCAAACACCATTCAGTTTGGAACTAACCTAAAAGACGTATAGGTAGTAAGTCTAAAGATGGACAAGATGAAAAAAGCTAATCAGTTGTCTTTTATCTTCATAATGAATAAAATTTGAAAATTACAACACATCTTTACTTCTCCATTAATTTTGTCAATCTTCATATTTTTGTTTGTGTTATAGCTAAATAAAAAAGGAATAGCTAAGGGATTTATTGTTAAAATATAAAAAAAGAAAAAAGAAAAATGATGGTGTAAAGTGTAAACAGTAAATTATGAGCAAAAGAAAAAGAAAAGATTGGGTATAAACTATCAATACATTGTTTTTGGTATAATTGCATGACTTACAAAGAAGCAGTACCCAAAAAGGAATTAAAATCCACTACATATTTAAACAAGGGTATAGTTGTCATTGCATTATAAATTTTAATTTTAGTGGATTAATTAAATTCTTCCATGGAAGTGATAAGGATCGACATCCTTATTAGAATATGGGAGGGGATATTGCCGTCAATTTAGGAAAAGTAAATCTTCCTTCCTTGATTTGCTACAAGACCATTACCAAATTTCTTTGACTCTTGTGTGTGCCAAAAAATGATAGTGACTGCCAGCTTCAATTCTTCTTTTCTTTTTCTTTTCCTTTTCCTTTTTCTTGGTGTTGGTCTGCCACCACACTTAACATTTTTTGTGTACAATATTCACTCTTATCCTTCACAGCTTTTCTTCATTCAGCTACCGTCTTCCATTCTTGGTCCATCATAATCTTCTTTTGTAAGCCAATCAACCACTCAACTCTTCATTTTGTGTACAATATTATGAATCAGGGCCTTCGGTTTTTGGTTAATCATAATATTGTTTTTCATATCTAAAGAAAGACTATCTTCTTCTTTTTTCTGTTTTAGCATAAACGTTTCTTGTTTCAAGATCTGCTATATTGTCGACTACTTTGCTATCCAAACCAACAGAAAAGAAAAGTAACCTAGCTACGATGGCGGAGGATGTCACTAATACTGTGGCTGGGAAAATAGTGGACCTGTTGTTTAGTGCGGCTAAACGGGAGACTGATTACATCCGAAATTACACTAAAAATGTTGACAAGTTGAAGAATGAAGCTCAAAAGCTCAAGGATATGAGGGATAGGATTCAACAACGAATCAATGCAGCTAAAGAAAATGGAGAAGCTCTCTTAGCTGGTGTGCAGAACTGGATGGACAAGGCAGAAATTGAAATGTCCAATGTGGAAGAATTTCTTGAACAAGAAGCACATGCTAAAAAGACGTGCTTCAACTTACGACCTTGTGTCAATTTGAGCACCCTCCACCATTACAGTAAGATGGCAATAAACAAGACCTCTTTTCTTCTGCAGCATCAAGAAGATGGCAAAACTCATGAATCTTGTGTCTCCATTCCCACTGCCACCCCAAGATTGGTAGACCTTTACCAAAGAAAGAATCTTGATGATATTGATACCCACAAGTTGGTGTTGAGGGAAACCATTCAAGCTATCAAAGATGAGAGCATACAAATGGTTGCAATTTATGGATCAGGGGGTGTAGGGAAAACTACATTAGCCAATGAAGTTGCTGCAGAAGTGAAGAATCTATTTGCAGACATTGTGTTTATAACTGTCTCACAGACTGTAGACGTTGAAAAGATTAAGAAGAACGTTGAAGTAGCTGCAAAACGGATGATGATTAATAAGGAGAAGGTTCTAATCATTTTAGATGACATATGGGAACCACTGGTCCTCTCTGATCTAGGCATACCATGTGGGAACGACCACATGAATTGCAAGATTTTGTTGACGTCTAGAAGGATGGATGTATGTGAAGGGATGAACGTTGATAGGAATATCTGTGTAAACGCTTTGAAGAAGGAAGAAGCGTGGGTCCTCTTCAAAAGTATTGTTGGTGATGAGAAGTTAGCGAATAATTCTAGTCTGGAGAAAACTGCAAAAGAGGTGACTGAAGAATGTGGTGGATTGCCCCTCATCATTCAAGCTGTGGGAAATGCTTTAAAAAATCGACCAATTCATATATGGAAGGCAGCACTTGACCGACTACGAAAGCATGTCCCTCTAGAGATCGCTCCAGAGATAAGGAAAGCATTTACTCATTTGAAGCTGAGCTATGACTTACTTGAAAGCAAAGAAGCTAAATCAATCTTCTTATTGTGTAGTATTTTCAGAGAAGATGGAATCATAGATATGTTAAGCCTAGCAGAATATGGTGTGGGTCTGCAGATATTTGATAATCTGGATAGCTTTAATGATGCCGTACAAAGAGTCGAAATGGCAGTTGACACCCTCACATCCTCTTCCTTGTTATTGTCCGAGGGAGACAAAGTAGTAAAAATGCACGACGTTGTTCGTGATGTGGCTTTCTTAATAACTTCCTCTTCTGAAGGTGAAAAGAAGGAGAAGTTTTTAGTGGAGGCTGGAAAAGGTTTGACAGAATGGCAACCAAGAAACGGAATCTCAGACAGCTACACCAAGATCTCACTCATGAGTAATAGCATTGAAAAGCTTCCAGATCATCAGCTTCATTTCCCACTCCTTGATACTTTCCTTATACAACGCAATGGTCTTTCCATTATTCCTGATGATTTCTTTCGAGGCATGAAAGAAGTTACAGTTTTAGATATGTCTTGGAATAAGATTATATCCCTCCCACAATCAGTGAAACTGCTCACAAAACTCATCACACTAGATCTAAGTTGGAATGTATCTCTTAATGAAATTTCTATACTGGGGCAATTAAAAGACCTTGAGATTCTAAAGGTTAGAGGGACTGGAATTAAAGTGATTCCTGAAGAGATCGGTCAACTGACCAACTTAAGGCTGTTGAATGCTGGTGATTGTCGCTATTTATCTGATGTAACACCAGGTGTCATATCAAAGCTCACTTGGTTGGAAGAGTTGTATATTGGAACCGTTGAAAAGAACGCGGTGTCTCGCCTTGGTCTTATGGAAATAAGTAACTTGAAATCGTTTAGAGTTCTGTATTTATTTATGGGTTCATATGATTGTGATCATTTTCCTGAAGGTACATACTTCGAAACGTTGCAAGAATTCTGTTTTCATTTTAGTGACAACAGAATTATGGACAAGAACCGATTAAAATTATATTTAAATCGTCGACTACGCATTGCATATTCTAACTTCCCATTCAAGATGCCAATCAAGAAACTGTTTCAGGTAAGTGATGGTATACTACTAAGGGAGATAAAAGATTTGGATAACATCATACCAGACCTTTATGGAGATAGTATTGATGAGTTAAAGTCTATTGAGTTGGATAGATGTTACAATGTTTCTTGCTTGGTAAAGACAACGGATGAGAATGCAACACAAACTTTTGTTGCTTCCAATGACCTGATGCTTGGTCAAAGGAAAACAACAAAGGAAAAGTACTTCTCCCAAGTGGAACAAATCTGTCTGCATAAACTAAAGAACCTGAAGCTTCTTTTTGGTTGTTCGTTACAATATATAAGCTTGCGTAATCTACAACTCATTGAAATTACAGATTGTGATTCCTTGTTGACGGTATTCCCGTTAAGTGTAGCACAAGGGCTTTCCAATCTGAGATGTATATCGATTGTGAGGTGTTGCAGTTTGATGGTAGTGATTTCTGGTGGAGATGAGCAAACAGCTGAAAATGACATTGTGTTCCCTAGACTTACCCATATTGAGCTTGGGTTTTTGCCACAACTAAAGAGCTTCTACTCTGGGGATTCTACAGTCAAATATCCTTCTTTGGAGTTTATCCAGGTGAGAAATTGTGGTAGCATGAAGAGATGGGGTTCCGGAGTCCATGACATGCCCAACGTCAAATTTGGTGATGATCAACAGATCCTTAATTTGTTCCATAAAAATTGATGATCTTTTCAGCAAGTACATGTACCATGAGAGAGGTATATCTGAAAAGACGAGTATCCCACCCAATATACAGCCAAGGAGACAGGAGACCAATTTATATGTTTCAAAGACTCCTCTTTCTTCTCTTTTCCCTTAAAGATTTCATGCTCTACCCAAGATTAGGCACACAATCACACAAGATCAAGGTTTATTGCATAGTTCAGGAGCTTGAAACAACCATAGAATCCAAGTTTGTTGTAGTTCTGATGCTTCCAAATATAAAATTGTGGCTGGAACAGCCAACAGTGTTCAAAGAGTGAATTACTTGAAGAATATTTAGAATTGAGTGGTTCTATGTCATCATCTTCCTCTTCTTCTCCATCAGCAATCTCATCTTCCCAACTCCCAAGTCTCATCATCATCATCCTCATCCTCATCCATATTTAATATTGAATTCTTATGGCTCGCTCATTTTGGTTTCAATAGATAGAAGCACAGAGGAGACAGCATATGCTCTTTAGCTTTTTTTTCCTCATAATAACGCCATGCCAATTCATCAAACAGTTGGTAAGCATCAACATTTTATCATTTGCCTATTAGCACATTTCCCAATTCATAACGAACATGATTCTAAAGATTGATCAAATTTCAACGCACCTGAGTGAGAGACTTGGTAGTCGGCGTAGGGGTTTTCATCAAATTCCAGCAAAATATCTTCAAATTGAACTCTGGATAAAACACTATAAAATCTCCCTTTTTTAAAATCAGCAAACAAATTTGATTTTTCTTCGACTTTGTCAAATATAGGGCTTCATTTCTTTTTGATTGTCTCGGATTGTCTTTCTCATCCTCAGCTTCATCAACGATACTGTTTCTCATTTCAATGGTCTGTAAATAACATAAAGAATTATAAGTACCGCCTTTATGAATTATGACTCTAAGCGGTGTTTGTGTTTGGCTTAGACAATCCAAAAGCCTTTTTTAGAAAAGTTACAAAAAGTCAGGGTTTTCTGACTTTTCCAAAAAGTTCTTTTTTCTTGTATCGAAACTTCAAAAGTAGCTTTTAAAACTAGTTTTATCGAACATCTTTTGTTTTTTTTTTCTTTTCCAAAAAGGACTTTTGGTTGTGAAAAGCTAAGCCAAACACCCCCTAAGATTGATTATTTATTTTTGTAATAGGGTGTGGGATGAGAGTTAGCCACTTTCTGATTCTAAAGATTGTTTGTTGTGGGATACGGCTTTAGGTGAAATGAGTGAATTGAAAGTTTTTACAGACTGCAAATGGCGATACAACCCAAATATTGTAATTTACGCAGGTGCTAAACTCTATCTTTCTACTACTCTATTGTATTTTTTTTTTGTCCGAAGTCTTTTTGTGTGTATAACAAATCATGTGTTTATCTAATTTGAGTTAATAATTTACTCAACCCTAACTAGACAGACGACTATCTTTTGGATTTTAGTCATGGTATGGGTTTGTTGATCCCCTTAACTAGTCTCCTTTCGGTTCGGACTAACCTTTATTCCTCTTTTAATAAGCCCAAAGTGAAATCAATGATTTGAGTGGTGAGGATTTTAAGTGTGTTGTCTTACTTATTTTATATCTTTGTTAATTGAAATCCATCCATTTAAAGTCCTTTTTGTACCATTTTGTCTTTTTGTAGGAAAGTGGATTAAGAGTATGCAAATTTGATGCGACTAGCCAGCTAACGGTGTTGGTTTAGATGAGAAATATAGGTAGATACCAAACATGTTGATAAATGGAACATCAAGTAGAAATTGATACACAAAAAGTTGGGAAATTGTTAGAGCAAAATATGGATGTTAGCCTATTATTGTATCCATTTTGAAAGTTTCTTTAATGTGCAGACAATGGTCAAGAAAAGACAAATGAAGACATCTCAGGCTACATAGGTTGGATCAAATGATCAATTGATACAGGTGGATATTATTGTCACACCCCGAAACCGTGATGGCGGAATCGTTCCGGGGCGGAGGACGTCATGTATAGCATCACAACCAATGTGAAATAGCAACCATAGCAACACAACCATCACAGTGTATACATATATGAAGATGTTTACATCAATTTGAAACTTGTTTGAATTACATCAGAGAGTACATATAAAATATAAACATAAGACTCTTATTACTCCAGCTTCTCATAAATCCAGCAGGTACCTGTCTACTGATTTCCTGAGAATACAAGCAGTTTGAAAATATCAGCATAAAGCTGGTGAGTTCATAAGCCGTAGTTTGTAATGAAAACTTGTTGATGAGCTCGTAAAAAGTATTTTGTATAGCGTCAAGAAAAACCGATATTTTCTTTAAGTGAAAAATGTAGCGTTATCCGTTCCATATAAACCATGAATGTTCGTTACTGAAAACTGTAGTGATATGTGAAAATACTACTTCATGTGACTAGCTAAGGCTAATCATGAAGTATAAGTATATTGTATATGAAATCCTTGCATAAACAATTTTGGTTGAAAACCCTGGCTTCAGCCTTTATACGTAGTGTGTTAGTTCTATTTAGTATAAATAAAATTGTTGAAGGGTGACAGGTTGTAAACTAAAGGGTGAATTATACATAATGTGAGTCGTATAACCATACTTGATATGACTAGAGACCTTTCCAACGTTCTTCAGGCGTCGAGTTAAATGACATTTGTCACCCTGGGCATGCCTGCCCAACTGTAGCTAGCAGTTCGGGTGTGGGATTATCAGTCCCGAATAGATCTATTCACAAATTTCATGCTCTCCCTCCAGGAGACTCTGGTTATACTATGATAGGATTTATCCATGTACATCTAAGGGTACAGTAGTGAAGTAGCGCCTCACAGTATCGTACAATCTAGTTTACATGTAGTGTAGTAGCGTTCTACCGTAGTGAAAATCCGAATGTATATCGTTTGTAGTGATAATTACAGTTATGAAAACATGATAAAGTAGTGATGCAAATTGTAAACTATTTATGTCTTAGTGCATACGTTTAGTAGTGAAAGTTTCTATACTTGTTATGCTTAGAAAATCCCAAACTATACCGATTATAGTTTGCATGTAAAACGTAGTGAATAGCGAGTCCGGAAAACCATGCAATTTTAGTGAAAATGTCCCTTATGCTCAACACAGTACAAAAGGGTTAAAGTATGAGAATTTCATGAGTTTTGAAAACCTTTATGTTTAGCTTGTATCCCCCCCCCCCCTGAAAACATTAAAAATACGGAAAATGTAGGGGTATGAACTCACCTCGAGCGAGTGGTTTGATTGAAGGATCGATACGAAGAGTCGGGTGTTCTGGTGAAGCCCTGAACATGATTCGATCCTAATAACATGTAATGACACATAAACGAGTCAAATGAAGGTATTTCACCACTAGATGTGATGAGAACCACTCTAAGAACTTGGGACTACTCGCACTAAGTGTTAGGACCTCAAAGGATTGCATGAGGGAGGTGTATGGGCACCTTAAAGGTGTGTATGGCCATGGGTGTGCGGCCGTACACTCATGATGGAAGGTGCCTTTGAGGTGTTTTCAAGGTCCATACTTGCATCCATAAAGTGTCCTAGGTCCATACTTGGTTGTAGTACAAGTTTAGGGTCTTAGAAATGGTTTGTGGTGCACACAGGAGTGTGCTGCCATACACAGGAGTGTGTTGCCGCACACATGAGTGTGCTGCCGCACACATTAGTGTGTGGTCATACACCCATCAAGTTTTGAAGAATACGAAGAACTCGAAGAGTTTTAAGCTTAGATCAAGGTGTCTTACAACTATAACAAGCTGAATGATGGAGTAATTCACGTTCTTGATGCCCTTAGAGTGTTCTTGGATGAAGTTTTTAGTGAGAGAAAGTAGAGTGCAACCAAATGAAAGGAATGAGTGAAAGGGGTCACCTTATATATATAGGGATGAGTGTGCTGCTAGGAGATGTGTGTGCGGCCGCACACCCATGTGTACGGTCGTACACTCCCTCCAAAGGTGCGTATGGCCTTGTTTTGACAGCATACGACTTGCTGACTCATTCCTAGACTCAACCTTGGTCATGCTCAAGCTTAGAATCACTTAAACGAACCCTTGAATAGTACTAGAAATCGACAAAACAAGTTGAATAATGATTGAATTGATTAATTGTACAAGATTGAAGTTTCGGGTTATCACAATTATGAAAAAGCAGTCAAGAGTATTTCGGTTGGCCATAACCTAACCCAAAAAAAAATCCAAATCTTAACTGCAAAAACTGATTAACTGGTACCAGACCGGTGTCTCTTTTCTTCGGTCTTTGTAAATTGAAGTTTTAATCTATGATTACCTGGACTTGTGTATTCATTTTTTTATGAAGAAACTTATGCATACATAATCTAAGCTCGGGGTTTTCTCCTATAAGTTACAAGTTACAGTTTAGTGCACGTGTCGAATACATTATCAAGATTTTGTATTGTTTGTGTCATATATCTCTTATTACTTAAAGTAACAACTAATTTCTCATTTCAGTAAACATTTAATTGAAAAATATCGTTTTAAAAATTTTTAGTTACTACTTCTCATGTAATATTTCTTTTACTATTTGGAATGGTAAAATCGGATAAGGAATGGAATTGGTTATTCCATTTGAATAAAAATTGTTTGTTTTTTCCTGATTGAATGGAATAGACCATTCATGAAGGACTCGAATTTCTTCATTTTTCTTAATTTTCATACCTTAAGTGGGAGGTGTTTCTTTTTTCATTTTCATCATAGAATGCAGTTGGAATTTGTAACATAAGTCATTTTTATTTATAAGTTTATTTTATGAGAAATATTTTAAAATTTTCATGATTTTGATTGATAACAAAAAAAGAAAGTACAATTTTATTTCATGTATCTTTTAAAATTCTTTGGCTGTTAAACAGCAACAACATTGGTGACCGAAAGATGGTGGTGGCGGCGGTGGTGGTGATGGCGGCAGCGGTGGTGGTGCTGGTGATGGAGTAGTGGTGGTGGTGGTGATGGTGACGGTAGGTCGGTGATTGTGGTAGTGGT